GACTATCTAGGGAAATCTAAGTTCTTAGATAGAAACTTAAGCTATTTCCGTAGATTTTTTAGATTATAGAAACTTCTTATTTCCTCTTTAACCTATTTAACATTTTACTAATTAGTTATAAATAATGTCTATATAAACCCCAATAACTATCAATAAGATAGATAATGATGAATTAAAAATTTTTGTGCTAGGTTGCATTGTTTTGATCATTCCTCTTACCATATTTTGAATGGTGTGAAAGGAGAGAAACAGGAGAGTTTTTGATAGGATTGAAAATGCTGATGGTTTTGATGTACTTAAAAATAAATGATTCCACACTTTTGGTTTTTTATTACAGGATCATCCCCTTTGTTCTATGGATGATTTATCAAATTTTTTGGATAATTTGATTGACATGTAAATTCTTTTGTACATAGGTGGCACCCCCTTGGTGCCTATAGTAATATACTTGACAGCTTATATTTCAAAAAAAAAAAAATGTTGCATCCTTTTGATACTTTTGAGGATGATGTTCATTCTCCGTTTTTTGTAATTCTTTTTTCACCGTTTCTCTAATATAATTTCTTCTTTTAATCCCAAAAAGAAAAATCTTGTGCCAGGATTTTATTCCTTGTTATCTCCTTGTCTTTATTCTTCTTGTTATTGTTCAGTCCAATATAACCTATCCCATTCAATGTGTTAAAATTGTTGTACATGCTATAATCAGTTAGTGCTGAATACGAAAGAGACTTATAACTGGAAATTATAGAAATATGGAATTCACTGAAAGAACTCAAAATTTACTTAAGAGTGGGACTAACATTTTTCTTATGCCAGAAGAAAAGAAACTTGGAGTTCCTTTTGAATCACCACGGGCAGCAGAAGAACATTACCTCCCACTATATTTTTTTTCATCCATGCTAGGCACATTGAGCATCTTCCTCATTGCAATAATTTTGTATGCTCATTCCCCTACTGAGTTGTCCCCCCTCTACAATGATTGTACTAGAAGTATTTTTCGGGATTACTTCATTTTCCATGGTTTATGATCATACGGAGCCTAAAATTTTGATTAACTTCCTATTTTTCAATGAAGATTATTAGAAGCCTCAACATTTTTAGATTTTGAAAACACACCCAATTCTCCTTTTCAATCCTGATCCTTAGTCATTCCAAAACTTGAGATCAAGTTTTCAACAAGGGGAATAGAATGATACAAAATAATAAAATTCTAATTTGGAATGAATTTTCTATTAAAGGTTTTTTAATTACTATAATTATTCAGTATCTTTTACTCATTTAGCCTATTAATCGATCTTAAGTTATTAAAAACCTAGACTATTCTGGTTAAAGTTATAGAAGCTTTAAACCTCTTCTTTTTTTAATACTCTACTTATTAATTGTAACTAATACTAATATTAAAGTTAGTAATTACCAACAAAATAGACAATGATATACTCATGTTCAAGCTAGTTCTTTTTTTATAAGAAAAAAAGAATATCATCTATTCATATGCAACAAAGGGATCCGACCCGTGTATAAAATTTACTTCTCAAGCAAAATATCTATAAAGTCCTCTAGATCTTCAAAGAATAAAGAGGATGACCCTTAATTAAACAAATCTAGGGTCTTGAACCATGTATCCTTGAATCTATTAAAACTAGTTTCTTTACTCTCGAAAGTTCTCTTATTACTTTCCTTCCAAATTAACCCCAATGTAGCTAAAGAAATAAGACTTGAGGAACTCTTATTCCTATGGATCCCTTTTCACAGCCGAATCTCATCCCTCACCAAACCAGCCATCACCAGTAGGCAAAGGATATGATCATAGGCTAAGGTCCACAACCAGTAGGCAAATGAACATCACCAAAGGATATGATTGCGTGATTCCGCATAACTCTTGCAGAAGAAACAACCATTAAACAATATTGTTCCCCTCCTAGTCAACTTGTCCACGATTAAAATACACTTCTAGCAGCCTCCCATGCAAAAAAGGTCACTCTAGCAAAAGTTTAACCTTCCAAATCAGCCTTGATGGAAACTTTACACAAGTTTCTTCTCTCTTGGCCAAGTACAGGTAAAATCATCTAATAGAAAGAATCCTCTTAGAGTTAAGCCTCCAAATAGGATAATCCTCTGCACCATTGGGAGTACATTTTGATAGGGCCAAGAGAAAAGATTTTTATTCATTAATCTCCCAATCATTAAGATTCTATAAAACCTCCACAATCCACAAGTCGTTCAGGAAAGATTTCTAAACCATGGCCGCCTTGTGGAGTGCGATAGCAAAAATACGGAGAAATTGAGTCTTGAGCTCCCCACCATCTAACCACTCATCATGCCAAAAATTCACTCTTTCCACACCCTACTCCTCCACTTAATGCATCTTTGGAACTCCTCTCTCCCTATTGCATATTTTCTTCCACAACTCTATTAACATGCAGCCAGGAAGAAATCCTTGTGAACCAACCTTTCCCACCATGCCAAACTTAGCACTTACTGCTCTCCTCCAAAAGCTATATCACTCCAACATAAACCTCCATAGTCGTTTCCCTTTTGAAGAGCCTTGTTGACCTCAACCAAAAACCTCAAATCCAAGCCACCTTACTGAACTGGTTGTTTTACTACATCCTACGCCACAAAATGATGCCTTCTTCTCCCCTCAGAGTCACTCTAAAGGAACCTACATTGACGAACTCCAATTTTGTGGCCACAATAATAGATGTTGTCAACAAAGACATAATAGATGGGGATATTACCCATGGCAATTTTAATAAGAGTTAATTTTCTCCTTTTACATAAAAAAATCATCTTTCACCCAAACAAAAAAGATTCAAACCTTGCAACCACAGTGTCCCATGACCATTCTTATAATTTGCCCCCAAAGACAATTCCAAATATTTAATTGGGAGCTTAGTGCACTTATATCCCAATACACTAACAAAAATACTAGTATCAAAACCACCTCAGATTCACCAGCTCATACTTTACTAGGTTAATATTAAGACTGAAGGTTTCCTGAAGCTCAGAAGAACACACTTAATATTAAGAATAGTCCTGACATCTATTCCACAAAATAACAAAGTGTAATCAGCCAAAAAAAAAAAAAAGTGAATCACCTCTTACGCCCCTTCATCATCTACCATCTTCAAACCCTTGAACATCTCAAGTTCACTGGCCTTCTTTAACATTTTGTTTGTAACCTCCATAACAATGATAAAGAGTAAAAGGAATAAAAGTTCACCTTGCATGAGGCCTCTAAAGGCCTTAAAAAAGGAAGAGGGACTGCTGTTTCACCATAACAGAAAAAGAAGTAAAGGAGATACAAGACATGATCCACTTGAACCATTTATCCTCAAATCTCATCCTATTCAACCTATAGCTTAGAAACTCCCAATTCACATAATTTTATTCCTTTTTTTTTTGTATAACAAATCATCCACCACCTTATTAACAATTATAACCACATCTATAATCTGTCTCTCCCTCCCCCCAAACAAAGGCATGTTGACACTTAGCCACAACCCTCCCCACCACCTTGGTCATTCTTCTCGCAAGAACTTTTGTAGTGAGCCTGTAGACACAACCCACAAGACTAATTGACATGAAATCCTTGATATTCATCAATCCCTCAATCTTTGGAATGAGCCCCAGGAAAGTGGAATTCAAGCTTTTGAAAAAGGTCCCAATTCATGAAATTCTTTAAAAAGGTCAATTACATCACTTTTTACTACACCCTTGAAATTTTCTAAGGAACTCCATGTTGAAATTGTCTAGCTCCAAGGGTTTGCCACCACTATATTGCATGAGCTCTTCCAACATTTCTCCAAGAATTTCTGTTCTAATAGTATCAACCCTACTCCTCCAAACTACTGAACTCAAGTCCATCAAGTGTGGGCCTCCAGCTAGAATTTTTAGCATACAAACTTCAAGTAAGATTTGAGCCCTTACCTCAAATCCTAATTGCCTTTCACCACTTGGCCATTAGTTTCCAAGTCCTCCATTTAATTAAGCCTTTTATGGTGGTTAGTCATATTATGGAAGAATTTAGTGTTTTTACCTCCCTCTTTGATCCATCTAATCTCAATTTTTGCTTCCTTGAAATCTCCTTTATTTGCATTCCATTTGCTAATTCCAGACATGTACTCTCCCCTCTCTCACTGTCTCCTGAGGCCAAACCGCTCTTCTTATCTACAATATCAAGACTCTTATGTTCACAGGGTTTCAACAATCTAGGCCTCCCACCTTTCCCCCCAACTTCCTTCCTCCACTGCTTTATTTTTGTTCTTTCTGCTATAATCTTTTAAGCTACCCTGAAACTCGCATTCCCTTCCACATCTGCACCTTCCCACCATTTCTTTATCCTGAAATCCCCATTCAACCAGTCTCCTCAAACCTAAATGAGCAAGAGCACTATGTCATATCATCTAAATCCAAGCAAATGGGGAAATGATCAAACTTTATATGTTGCGGAAGTTCCGGATTAGGTTTATCATTGGAGATTGAGAAAAGACCAAAAGAACAAAACAATCTATCCTGAAAAAGCTGCGATTAGATGTTTGGTTTGACCAGGTCCACTTGCCTCCTGAGAGTGGCAAGTCCATAAGCTCCAACCTATCCATTATGCCCCGGAACTCCTCAACACAAAGCCTGAAGAATGCTCCCCTGACCGTTACTGCCTCTTGAGGACTATATTAAAGTCTCCCCTTATGATCCATAGGCGAGCCCATCTCCTCCTACACTCCTCTAGATCACCTTACAATCTTTCCCTCTGCCTCCCCTTGCCTCTACCATAAACCCCAATAAACACCCAGCACCGACCACTCTCCCTACATTCAAACAAGTAGGAGATAGAGCACTCACCCATGCAGACATCAACACATCTTAAATGGTTATTGTTCCACAGCGCTACAACCCTATTGGCTGCCCCTACCACAGGCAACTCCCTCCAACCAACCTCCTCTATCTTTCAAATAGTGTGTGCCAGGATATCCAAGAAATCCACTTTCGTTTCCAATAAATAAATTATTTCACATTTCCATATCGACATAAAATCTCTAATAAGAAATCTCTCGTTATGGTCTCTCAAGTGTCTCACATTCCAAGAGATAATACGCTCTAACACAAGTCCAACATTGAAGCTTCTCCATTCATGCCCTTCTCACCCTTGTCAGGTTTCTAGTTCCCTCTGGTCTAGCTATGTTCTTTCATTTCTCTCATAAATTGCCTCTAATTCCTAACCTATATGAGTACAAATGAGTATTACCACTACTTGTCATACATCAGATCTTGTCCTCAAATGCAAAATATGAATGACAAGAACAGTAGGAATTCTCTTTATTGTGTAGGATCCTCAATTAGAACTTCCTACTTTTCTAGATTCAAACTCATCAACAAACTCCAACCAGAAAAGTTCTTAAAATTGACAGCAAGAACAATTTTTTATCACAATTAAGACGAGGACCCTTCACGTGCCTCTCATCCATCTAAAGCTTGCTCAAGCATTTTAACAAATTGAGGCATTGAAATTGAAGAACTAGTAATCCTGCTGTATTTAAAAAGAGAATCATAATAACAGCATTGCTCCCCTTGCCATTCATATTATCTAGCCAAATTCATGGCAATATCTTTTTTTAATTTTGTAGAAAACTTCATCCTATAGTTAGGCCATTCGGTGCTGCAATTCCACCCAACAGCAATATGGTCCTGGAAATCACTCAAAAAGCTTGTACCCTCTTCTTCTTGAGTGAGAATGCACGCATGGACTACAAACTGCTCAAAGCAGCATTTGTATTCTTCGGTAATCTCATTCGACAACGTTTGGATAACTCACTAACTTATTGCTTTGGATAGGAGGCCCTAAAGCAAAGATTGTGATGCCACTTTTTTTTGAAATAAAAGTAAAGTATTATTATGCACATAGATACTAAGAAGGTACCACCCTTATACAAACTAGTTACAAATCAATCAAATGGCTCATGACTAGTCCAAAGTCTTCCCAATCTTTAATGTTATGATCCAACAAAATAGAGTCAAAAATGTGAATCCATCTATTCCTAATGTTTACAAAGTTAGTCTCTATTTTTTCAAAAACTTTCGCATTTCTTTCCTTTCACATCACCAAAAAAATAGTAAGTGGGATAAGGAACAAATGCCCTTTCTTTTTACAAAAACTCGTCCACGCCCACAACTCATTACTCACATTACCACGCATAACCCAATTTAACCCTAACAACCCGTACACAGTGGTCCAAATGTTGTATGTCGCGAGGCATGTCAACAATAAATGATTACATGTTTCCTCATCAGTTTTGCATAAGTAGCATCTATTAACCACCGTGTTACCTTTCCTTTTTAGCATATCAAGAGTCAATATGCATTTTTAGCAGCTTTCCAAGCAAAAAATGTCATTCTAGGTGGAGCTTTAATCTTCCAAATCTGCTTAAATGGTGTTGTCTTGTTATCTCTGTTTTCACTCTTGCATAGAAAGCTATATAAAGACTTCACTGATGTAGAATGTACATACGTAGGAATGTATATATACATGTACATTTACACTAGGGATAACTTAATCTTTTCTCATGTTGAATGTACATATGTAGGAATATATATATATATGTATACTTACACTAGGGATAACTTAGTATTTTCTCTGTATATATGTAGGAATGTATATATACATGAATAATTACACTAGGGATAACTTAGTCTTTTCTCAAGTTGTTAGGACAGCTGATATTGTTAGGACAGTTGGGTATTCTCTCCACTAATTTTTTAGCTTTTTGTTAGCACCTTTTTGATTGTTTTTGTCTTGGCCGAAGGCCTATATAATGGCACATTTGTGCCCATGAAATCGTAAGGAAAATTAGAGAAATTCTCCTCTTTTCACATAAACTTCTTCCTTTATTCTCTTCATGGTATCAGAGTAGAAACTTTGATCCAAAATCATTCATCATCCAACTCAAACCAAAATGGCAATGGATGAGCAAAACTCCTCTTCCCCTGACGTTATCTCAAGTTCTTATAATCCAATGTCCATCACCCAATCTCACGTCGACCAAACACCCTCATTTGTCACTGGACACATGCTGAATGGGAGTAATTATCTCCAATAGTCATCATCCGTCCTCATGTTCATCCGAGGAAAGGGTAGAGATGAATATCTTACGGGAGAAGTCATTCAACCATCAGCAGAGGATCTAGGAGCCAGTTCGTAGAAGGTCGAAAACAATCTTATAATGTCTTGGTTAGTCAAGTCAATGACAACAGAGATTGGAGAGAACTTCTTACTGTATGAAACTGCGCACGACGTCTGGGTGGCCGCGGGCGAGTTCTATTCTAGCCGAGACAATACCTTAGCCATCTTCAAAATTGAGACTCACCTGCACGACTTGCGACAGGGGGAGCTCACTATGACTCAATACTACAATGCACTCACTCGGAACTGGCAGCAGCTCAACGTTTTCGAAGAACATCAGTGGAACTATCCCGAGGACTCCAAACTATTCAAAACTCTCACCGAACGAAAAAGGATCTTTAAATTCTTAATGGGTCTCAACAAAAATTTAGATGAAGTTTGTGGTCGCATTCTGGGTACCAAACCACTGCCAAGTCTCAAAGAAGTTTTCTCTGAAATCCATCGAGAAGAGAGTAGGAAGAAAATCATGATGAGGGATCCTTACTCTGGCCCGAACTCGATGGAGACGAGTTTTGCCCTTGATGCTCAATGGAAGTCGCTGCTAAGTGAATCCCAGCTTGCTACACTAAAACCCGAGCAGACCTCTGCTCTCATCGGGCGTGTTTCTGAAAGATGAGGAAAGAAAGGGGGACCCTAGTGTGACTATTGCAAAAAATCAGGTCACATTAGGGATAAGTGCTGGAAATTACATGGTAAACCAGCAGATAAGAAGAATTAAAAAAATAACACTTAGGGCAATATAGTAATTTAAGAAGAATCACCCCCAGCACCTACACTTACCGAGAGCTCTTCTTTCAGTCCAGCTCAGATGAAAGCTCTCCCGCAAATGTTTTCGGAGAAAGGTATTCTCAGTAATGCATCCGTTGCTCAGAGAGATAATTACTCACTCAGTTTATCTGCTTACTCTCTGAAAAAACAAATATGGATTATTGATTCAGGGGCATCCAATTATATGACCGGAGATATCACACTTCTTCATCTGTATAGTAAATGTAAGGAAATTTCCTCCATCAAGATTGCCAACGAAACCAATTCTAAAGTAGCAGGGGTTAGCTCAACCATTATATCACCAAATTTGATATTGCAATCCATTCTTTATGTGTCTAATTTAGACTCCAATCTGCTATCTGTAAACAAATTATGTAACAACTTGAACTGTATTGTTAAATTTGACAGTGGTTCATGTGTTTTTCAGAACTTGGCCACGGGGACGATGATTGGCAATGCTAAGAAGGAATCAGGAATTTATCTTCTACCAGTCACAATCTCACCTCCAAATGGACAAACTTTAAGTGCAGTATGTGTTACCTCAGTATCTATAGGATGTTCTAATGTTGACCAATCTATTATATTATGGCATTATAGATTAGAACATTCAAACTTCATGTAGTTAAAACAACTATTTCCTACTTTATTCAGAAATAAATTTCAAGTTCATTTCAATGTGAAATATGTCAATTCTCTAAACACACCAGTAATTCATATTCCAGTATTGTTTACAAACCCTCAAAACCCTTTACATTAATTCATAGTGATGTCTGAGGACTGGCACAGGTTAAAAATGTTACTGGAACAAAATGATTTGTCTCTTTTATTGATGATCACAGTAGAGTAACCTTGGTCTATCTTATGAAAGAAAAATCTGAGATTTGTCAAATTTTTCACAAATTCAACACTATAATTCAAACACAATTTCAGACAAAAATACAAGTATTGAAAACTGACGATGCATGTGAATATTTTGCATCTAACTTAGGCAAATTCCTTACTAAACAAGGAATTGTCCATCAGAGTTCTTGTCCTTACATCCCCCAACAGAATGGTGTAGCCGAAAGAAAAAATAAACACATACTTGAAGTATCTCGCTCACTTATGTTTACCACAAATGTTCCTAAATTCCTTTGAAGAGAGGCTATCCTCACTGCTACATATCTAATCAACCAGATGTCCTCCCGTATATTTCAGTTTAAAACATCTTATGAATCCCTCGTTCAAGCCTTCCCAAACATCACACATCCTTCACACAATGATTCCGTTTAAAATCTTTGGCTGCTCTACCTATGTTCACATTCACAGCCACTTTAAAGAGAAACTCGATCTTAGAGCTCTCAAATGTGTCTTTTTCGGATATTCTGCTTCTCAAAAAGGTTACAAATGCTTTTGTCAAGTAACCCGCTGGTTCTATAACACTATGCATGTCACTTTCTTTAAAAACCGACCCTTTTATTCCACTCTTGATATTCAGGGGGAGACATCTGGAACTCAAGAAAATTAATTGTGCGATGTGAACATGCCTCCACTACATACTCTACTGACGACTCTAAAAAAAGAACATGTCCATAAAACCACCAAAGAACCTGAACCTACCACGGAGACTGATAACACATTACCTGCAATTAATAAGTTATGTGTCTATACCAGGTGAACAAAACTCAAGGTAAGCTAAAGTATCTGAGCCAACTATATACTGTCATGACTCAACTCCCGGACCCAGCACCAAGAAAAACACAAGTAATGAGATCTCTGACTCAACTGATGATATTGATTTACTATTGTTTTACAAAAATGTGTTCGTTCTTGTACCATGCATCCCATACAGAATTATGTCTCTTATGGCAAGCTGTCTTTAAAGTACCAGGCATTTGTGAGTAAGTTTGACAGTCCTCTTCTAAACCAAGGACTGTTCATGAAGCTCTCAAGATTCCTGTATGGAATGCTGCTATCCAAGAAGAAATTTCAGCCCTTGAGAAAAATGAGACATGGGAGTTATCTCATCTACCTCCAGGGAAGGCTCCTGTAGGATGTAAGTGGATCTTCACCACTAAGTACAATCCTGATGGTAGTGTAAGCCGCTACAAAGCACGACTTGTCGCTAAAGGGTTTACCCAATCATATGGAATCGACTATCAAGAGACATTTGCTCATGTTGCCAAGTACAACACAATTCGAGCATTATTCTCTTCGGTATCTAATCTTGATTGGTCTCTCTACCAACTTGATGTGAAAAATGTTTTTCTTAATGGTGATATAGAGGAAAAAAATGTATATAGAAGTCCTACTTGGACTCGAAATGAATCCCCAAAAGGTGTGCAAACTAAAAAAATGCACTGTATGGTCTCAAATAGTCTCCAAGGGCATGGTTTGATAGATTTACCAGAGCAGTGAAACATATGAGATATGAACAATATCAATCCGATCACACTCTATTTGTCAAGCATTGTACCACAGGAAAGAGAGCTATACTAATTGTCTATGTGGATGATATTATCCTAATAGGTGATCATAGTGAAGAAATTCAGAAATTGAAAAACTTTCTAGTTAGAGAATTTGAAATCAAAAACTTTGGGATACTCAAATATTTTCTTGAAATGGAAGTTGTCAGATTCAAGAAAAGAATTTCTACATCTCACTGGAAGTACATCTTAGATCTCCTGGATAAGACAAGTATGTTGATTGTAAACCTGCAGAGACTCCTATGGAAACAAATGCTAAACTTGATTCCAAAAGTGACAGTAAACCTGTTGATAAAGAGAGGTATCAAAGACTTATAGGCAAACTTATCTACTTGGCTCACACAAGAGCTAACATCAGCTTCGCTATTAGCACTATGAGTCAATTCATGTCTCAACCTACTGAATAACACATAAGTGCTGTTAACCGTATTCTGAGGTATCTAAAGATGACACCTGCATAGGGATTATTCTTTCAGAAAACTATAATCAGAGATATTGAGATCTACACTGATGCTAATTGGGCTGGATATGTGACAAATAGGAGATCCACATCTGCTTATTGCTCTTATATTTGAGGTAATTTATTCACTTGGCGCAGCAAGAAACAATCTGTTGTATCAAGGAGCAGCACTGAATCTGAATTACGATCACTTGCATATGGTATATGTAAAGGAGTATAGCTTAAAAAGATCCTACTTGAATTAAGATTTTCTGCTCCCACTGCAATGAGGATCTGGCGTGACAATCAATCAACTATTAGCATGACCAAGAATCCTGTGCACCATGACAGAACTAAACATGTTGAGCTTGATCGTCACTTTATTAAAGAGAAAATTAAAAGTCAGGATGTATCACTCCTATACATCCCGACAAGTCAACAAACTGCAGACATACTCACCAAAACTCTACCAAAAAGGGAGTTCAATAATTTTGTTTCCAATATAGGGTTACTTAACATTTACGTAATCTAAATTGAGGGGGAGTGTAGAATGTACATATATAGGAATGTATATTTACATGTATACTTACACTAGGGATAACTTAGTCTTTTCTCATGTAGAATGTATATATACATGTATACTTACATTAGGGATAACTTAGGTTTTTCTCAAGTTGTTAGGACAGCTGATATTGTGAGAACAGTTGGGTATTCTCTCCACTAATTTTTTAGCCTTTTCTTAACACCTTTTTAACCGTTTTTGTCTTGGCTGAAGGCTTATATAATGGCACATTTGTGCCCATGAAATTGCAAGGAAAATCAGAGGAATTCTCCTCTTTTCACAGAAACTTCTCCATTTATTCTCTTCAACCAAAAAACCTCTCTTTGCATCCAGCTTCCAAACCCTTTTGTCTTTGTCTTCAGTCAGTTTTATGTTAGCCATACACAACAATAGGTTCTTGTACTCTTCAATTTCCCAATCCTGTAATTTCTTTTTACCCTCACATTCAAACCCTTCCCTCCCCAATAGTTTCATAAGTCTTCTTCACCCTAACCTCCTTATCGCAAGCAATATCATAAATTCTTGTAAAAACGATCTTTTAGCTTGAAGTTTCCCGTCCATTTATCCTGTCAGAAACTGACTTCCTCACCGTTACTCATCTGCCTGCCCTCACAGACCCTGAAAATATTGCTGCCGTCCCTTATTTTCTTCCACAGGCTCATCCCATGCACCTTAAATCTTCCCTTCCTGCCTCTCTTCTTTTCCCAGTCACCCCATCTCGCCTGCACCACCTTCCCCCACAGCTTCTCCTCTTCAACAAGAGACCTCCATAGCCACTTCCCTTGGAGCGCTCGGTTCAATTCACTTATTGATCTTAAACCGAGACCCCCCCTCCTTAACCGGTTTCTTCACCTCCTCCCACCTAACCAACTGATATTTTCTATATCTCTCCTCATCCCCCCAAAGGAACCTACATTAGATGTTTTCAAGTTTAGTCGCTATGCTGGTCGGAATGATTAAAATGGAGAGGTAACATATTGGTAAATTTGCTAGTGTATTCTTTATCAAAGTAAGTCTTCCCACTTTAGATAGGAAATTTCTCTTCCATCCCGCTAACTTTTTTTCAAACAAATCCACAATAGGTTCCCAAGTTTTCACATCTTTAAATTTAGCCCCAAGTGGTAAAGCCAAGATATTTAATAGGTAAATAGTTACCTTACATCCCAACACCATAGTCAAGCTCCCTTGATCCCCTCTATCACCAATTCTAACCAATTCCGACACAATTTGAAAACAAAGAAGGATGCACCTCAAGTGTGACACAGCATTCACATTTGGATCACAAAATATTAATGCATCATCCGCAAAAAATAAATGTGACCCTCATCCTTATCTCTATGCTTTGAGGTGCATCATCCGCAAAGATTGTGATGCCACTTAAGTTCGGAAAACCACAATTGAGCCTCTAAATGGAGCAAGAAAGACCAACCTGGTATGTTGGTGGCTATGCTAGCAGTCAAACTTTTCAAATTTTCAAATAATGGAATAATTATCACATGCTGACAAGACTGAACCAACTAACAAGAAAAAGAAACTAATGTTGGATAAGTTAAAACTGAAGCCAAGAGAAAAAAAGAAAGTATGACAAAGAATACAACAGCAGAGTATTTTTTTTCCAAAAAGAATTTATACCTTCTGATACTTTTGCCTGACAACCATCAGCAGAACCTCTTGGAAGAAGCAGCAAGTTGGCCTGTGATAGTGACAGCATTGCCATTAAATGCAAAACAGACAAAGCCTCATACCAGGCATTAGACATTGCTGTTTCCTGAAAAAGCATATTGATCCATGTCAAATCCAGAATCCTCAAAGCATAGAGATGAAGGAAATAAAAGAAAACATTTTAGGCAGGTCCCCACACCTCTGCATCATCCTCCTGATTTACCCACGCAAACTGTACTTTGTGTTGTAGTTGGCTCCCTGAACAACACAAATAAACATGTGAAATTCACCTAAGTGATAAACACATCCTAAAGGGAATGGCACTAGAGACATGCTTTACCATCTTTGACTAATCCCAAAAGAACAGGTAAGTAGTCTTCAAGAGCCTGATGAAGATCAGCCAATGTAGAACCTCCTGCAGACAATAATTCCACTTGATTTGTCAATAAAGGCATCTGCTATAAACAATTTAGAGCATGTAGGCTATCCTATAACGAACCATGTTGCGTTGCACTTTTTCTCCTAGTTCTTGTAACTGTGGGTGCTTCTTGACCAGCCATAACAACTATACGAGTTCTTAGAGCAGATAAACGTTCCACTAAAGTCTTCGACAAGTGGTCACCCAGTGATTGAGAGAAATCAACAGGTTTAGGAATCCGCAAACCAGGTATATAAACAGAAACTTCCCCAATACTTCCTGGCCTCCTCCTATTTCCTCCCGACCCTTTAGATGTAGACACCAAGCATCCCATATCTTTAAAAAGTTTCTTGAATCTACAAAACCACGTTAAAAAAATCCAATGATTATATGAAACTTAGTTCTTTTCCCACTATACAGTGTCTCCAGAACTTAGTTCTTTTCCCACTATGCAGTGTCTCCAGAAAAAATAAAAACTATTTAGGAATAGGTAACAGATCCCCATACATATGAGCAATGAAGTTCAACGTGGCAATACCAAGGGTTAATCAACCAGTAAGCAGGACATGAAGGTTAATAAATGTCCAACCAACAAAGCAGAATTAGCAGGTTACTCACGAGCAGTACCACTAGAACAATCCAAAAGTTCTTGGAAGTAATTTCTTCCAACCAAAACCAATCTCTCCCCGTCCCCCTCTAAAATAGTATATAAATAAGCAAGAAATAGCTATATTCACCTCGTCCACTATCAAAAGCCTGACAGGTGGGTCAATAATTCTGGCTATGTCTATATTAAACAAAGAAACAAATATGACTTAGAAAAGCTATGGATCACAAGGAACACATGAAACTTGCCAACCGACTTTCACTTCAGTCTGAAAGAGTATGGGTCAAAAGGAATAGGAACGTACTTTACATGAAAATTCAAAAGAAAAATGTGAAAGTAAAAGGAATTTGAGTCGTTCAAGAATGAGAACTTGAATCGATACCGTGGCAGATTGCGAATAACAAGGGTTAAATAAATGTACATAATTATTTAGAAAAAAAATAAATGTAAATAATTCCATAAGGTGTCCAAGCATAGCGAATAAACAATAAACAAATGAGGTTAAACCACAAGAAATCTCTCGAGCAAAGCAAAATCATAAAATTTCCGCTTTTCCTTCTAATTTCAAATTGACGTATGAAGAACTAAACTCCATCTGCAAATGCTGAAAACCCGAAACAATCTATAATGAAAAAATGTGGAAATTTTAGCAAAAAAAAAAACCATATCATCTAAACTGAAAATTTACCATATAAATAAAGAAAAACAAAAGAGAGATTGCGAAAAAACCGTTTGGTTCAAATTAGAGTTTCTTCTGAGCAGCTGAAGTTCGACGCAAAACATCAGGTTGTATAGTCGGCCTGCGGTTCAGCTTTCTTGTGAAAGACCAAACGGAAGGTAGCAGCGAAATTGAGAGAAAGAGATAGAATTGGAAGTACTTTGAGAAGGCAATCCGATTGATAAAAATTGAGATGAAAACGAACAAAGTCTTACCATCAAAGCTATATACTCAGTTTGCGTGGCTGAGAGCCAAAGCTGAGAGTGGATTAAAGCAAAACCCTAGCGAATGAGTAATTCACAGCAGCAGTGAAATTCAAATGCTCAAAATGAAAATTTCCTCCTGTTCGTTGAATTGAAGAGAAACACTTGCGAGTGGAAGTGAATTGAACAATAATATGTACGTGTATATATATATATATATATATATATATATAAACGAATAAGAATTTACGAGGAATTCTAACAGTAACAGGAATAATCAAGTGCAGGAATCCGCAATTATATTTGCTAATTAATTATAAATTTGAGTTAAAATGACTTTGCATTTATAATAGCGTTTAATTGCCGCCTAAACGAACTTAATAAATAAAGGGCTTGTGACGACGAACTTCTCATTCATTGGAAGATTCAGAACTTGAAAACTTCTGATAGAATAAACAATTTGCGAGTTTATTTTTTTTTCTAAAGATGATTTGTGAGTTTATTTTAGATAAATTTTCCTATAAAATTTGTCTACTTTAATATAATTTATAGTTACAAATTTAATAAAAATTTATATGGTACATTTCATAAAAAGCTTTAATACGGTAATATCTTCGTATATATTGTTTTGTTTTTAAAAATATATTAGGAGTAACATCTTTATTTTCTGAACAAATTGTCTTATTTGAAAAAATATATTGAAAGAAGAATCAGTAGACGGAAAGCAATAGCTAAAATCAGCAAAAAAATAAACAATAGAAGGGATGTATAAAATGATTAAAATTAAAAGGAAAAAAGTATAAACAGTAAAGGAATGTGATAAAAAAAAAATACTAAAGCTAAAATACCAAATTTTACCTTATATTATTCAAAAATATTAAAATTTTACTAAGTATTATTTTTATGTTCAAATTAGCCCAACAATTTAAGAAAATTAAAATAAAAAAAAAAAATAGCTCCTCCATTTATGGTTCACTGATACCATTTACTGATCGATGATGTGACAATGATAGTTGGAGCTAAAAAGGGGTGTGATGTGGCAGGGTGAGGTGGCACTGGAGGTGTTGTCCAACTGGCCATTCATGTACTTGTTTAATTTTCTATATCACGTTAGTGCTTTGTTGTCGCCACATCATCTATCAGTAAACGGTGTCAATTAACCATAATGGGGTATGGATTATTTGTTTCTTTTTCAAAGCTTTTGGGTTGATTTGGACATAAAAATAGTACAAGATAATATTTGACTTCTTTAATAGTACAGGAGTAAACTTTTATATTTTAACCAAAAAAATATACATATACATTTTTTATTAATTAATTGACAAAATATAAAAAAATAAAAAAAAAAAAACTACACAAT